TGCAGAAAGAAGTAATAAGAGACTAAATTTTAAAATGGCAATAGTGATAAAAATGGATGTATCTGAAATATAATTAAGACATAAAAGCAACAGGATCTCGCAACCGATGGAGAGAGGCAAATGAGAGAAATGGAGGTGTCAACGTGGTGTATAAGAGTGTGAGAGTTTTAACCTGTGTGTCCAAGTGGAGGATGGGGGGTTAATTGAGATGATGACATGCAAGAGCAGGAGGTTTAGGGTGGGAGAAGGAATTTCATTCTGGATGGGAAGGCTTTGAGTACTTCAGTATGCAGATGTGAGCAGGTTGAGATGTTGCTGTTTAATAGGTGGTTGGAGACCTGCATCTGGCATTCAGGGGAGAGGATTTAGGATTCCTTAGAGCAGCAGGGGTTGGTAAAACCTTAGGAGGAATGAAGTCCACCAGGGAGGGCTTCTGACAGGACAATAAAAAAGAACTAAAATAACATGAGGGAACATGGAATTTAGGTCTGTAATTCACTGACCAGATCCTCTGCCTCCAAGGCAAACTCAATCTACTTTAGCCTATGTTCAGGTCAAGTTGAGAGCTAGCAGGAGAAAGCCTACCTCCTCTCCTCTCCTAAAACTGCCTTTCTGGTAGGGCCGTGTCCAAATCCTCTATATCTATGTAATAATACCCTACCTATAAGAGTAGTCAGGATCACAGCCTTTTCTTTGATGCCCTATTAATTTGAGTTCTCTTAGAAGCAAGTACCAAAGGTGATTAGATATACACGAGATGTATTGGGGAAACACTTGTAAAAGTAAAGGCTGGGAGTGCTAAGCCAGAGAAGGCAGGGAGAGCCTTCAGACTATGATGGAGGCCTGACCCCTGTGAGGGGGAGGGGGAAGGAAGAAGGATTGGGTAGAAAGCACCTCAGAGTGCTGCACAGTTCCAAGAGTGATTTGGCCAAGCTCATAAGGAGTATTCAAACCAAAATTGCCAGTTAGAGATAGCCCACATCTCAGATGAATAGGCTCCCCAGAGTACTCCCACCATGCTTAATCATTGGTTAGGAGGAGCCCGCAGGAAGTGTGGTGTTAGCGGGGACTCAGTATGGATCCAAAGGAGCAGCGGCTGGGGCCATCAGTCCTGAAGCCTCCCTGCAGCAGGAGATCCTAGTGGCATATTCATGGCCACCGCAGATGCCCTCAGTTACTCAATGACACTTCTTCCTAAATGTTTTACTAGCATTTATTGTCCAAACCCATCAAATACAACTCAGTGTGTGCAGCCTTGTACCATGATTAATTACTTCTCTTTGTAATTAGTTATATTATATATATCCACCCAACTAGTTATAAACTCTTGTTTAAACATCAGTGCCTCGCATTGCATCCTTAACTCAGAAGGCATCTAACCATTCATCATAATAAGAGTTGTTTTATTTTCATTATTTGAATTTATTTGAGAGCAATAAACAATGAGAATTTTGACTCAGGAAATTAGGATGGGGGGAAGTTGAGAGAGAATATGATTTGGACGAGGAGTTCCACAGGTGTTACAGTGAGGGAGGAAGAAGTAGAGCGGGAAGTAGACATACCCAGTGGAGGAAAGCAGACACCAGGGCCCTGGCACATACATTGGATGAGATGAAGTCCAAGTAGGCAGACAGAACATGGTATCCAGAGAACGTGGTGGAAAGGGCTAGTTTAGGGCAAGAACTAGCATAGGGGAGGTCCAGCAAGATGGATTGGAGGAGAGTTTGAAGTAGACATAAGGTCACTGCAGCTCTCTCTCTCTTTTTTTTTTTTTTACCATTATAATACCTTAAAAATTAACCGTAATTTTTTAATGTCATTAATTATAGACCTTGAGTGTACAAATTTCCAGCTGGTTTTGTCTTTTTTAACATTGCAGTTGGTTGATACATCTTTTAAGTCTCTTTTAATCTCTATTTCCCCCCTCCATCTCTTTTTCTTTTCTTTTTTATTTTCTTGCAATTTATTTGTTTGTACTGCAGAATTTGCCACAGTCTGGATTTTGTTGATGGCATCCCAGGGTGCAGTCTAACAGGTGCTTCTGACCTCTGCGCTTTTGTAAATTGGTGACTGTCTCTGGAGGCTTGATCAGATTCACGTTAGAATTTTTTTGGCAAGAATACTTCATAGGTGGTAGTGTGTGTTTCCCTCAGGAGGCACATAATTTCTGATTATCACTCTGCAGCTCCTGTTTTTTTTTTTTTTGAGAATTGCTCCCTGTATGCACAGAGGCAGTTTCCATACACCATAACACTCCTTCTTAACCTTGGTTAGTTGGATCAGGGAGACACCTATTCCAAGCTGAGCCTCCTAGGAATTTGGAATTGAGGTTCAGTGAATCTAATTAGTTGAGTTTTCCTTGAACTGAGCTGACGCGTTCAAGACAAGGCTCTTGGAGACTGTTGGGACAATCATGTACGCTAGGGAACAGGAGAGCTGGCTTGCAGAAAGACAAGAATGAGTCAGGCATTCAGAGAAGAGCCGAGATGAGAGACAGTGTGACTCCAGAGAAAGAGAATGAAACTGAGAAAGTAGTTGTCTGGACTCCTGAGGAATTTCCATTCCTGAGCCTAATCCTGAGCCCTGTCCCCTTAAATTCTGAGATAACCCACCAACCCCAGAATAAATTTCCTGTTTTGCTTAATCTAGTTTCAGTCGATTTCTTTTAGTAGCAGCCAAACGAAATTGACTGAGATAGTGTTTTTTTGACACACAAAAAAATAACCAGACACATGCAGGAAATTCAGGAACATGTAATGTGCTGAGATACAGGCAAGCAAGAGTTAGCAATAGGAAAATTGGGAAAAGTAGCCCTGGAAAGAGTGGCCCAGACAAGAAAGCTCTCAGTCTGGTAGGAACCTGGTAACTAAACAAGTTATCAAGTCAGGGATTAACCATACAGGATCTGGTTATAAGAACTAGGGTGGAGCCTTCATCACATGAACAAGGCAGAAGAAATTGGTTATTAGGAGTCAGGCAAAAGGTCAGAGGCAGAGTAAGTCTTCTGATCTGTTGAAGATGAGCTCTATTGAGGATGGAATTCGTTCATGAATTCAGTAAGAATTATTGGGTACTGCATTCTAGGGAATTTAGTGTGTTAACAGACTGAGTTGGGGGTTCAGTGTACTATGGGGTGGAGCTAACCTGGGAGTGGAGACTCCCTGGTACCTGCTGTGAAGAAGAGAAAGCTGAGAGGGCAGAATCAGGCAGGGAGCCAGTCAGCCCATGATGTGGAGTAGATGACAGGTTGTTAGAATTTGGAGCATTCTAGGGCAAAACATACCTGGAAGAAGTTGAAACTGAAAACTCAGAAAGTAATTTCTTTCAAGCAGCGGCAGAGAGGAGGTAGGGCATGAAAGAGGATTCAGAAAGGGACATAAGAAGGTGTCAACACACCGCTTGTCTATGTCAGTTTCACATAGGGGCCTGGTGGCAGCTGACAAACCTATAGAAAATACCTCTTATGCCTCTTTAAGCTGGATGAACTGTTTCATCACATACCTGTTCTACTTTACCAAAGTTAAAATTTCAGGAGGAGTTGGAAGGCCATAAACTCTAGCCTTCCCTAATTCAATCCAGTCTTACCAGATAGGCAAGACTAGACTCCCTTAATATAATTCAGTTCAACATCTTCTGGTTTAACCTTGAACCCTGCCCTACTTGAAAGAAGAGATATATTAAGAAAAGAGGAAAAGGAGGTAGAAAGGAGGATAAAAATTAAGAGATGCCTTATAATCTGTTGCTCATATTGAGGTAAATTAGGTCAAACATCTAATCTCCCGTGACCTCCTTCTCTACCTCCTGCTTATAATTTTGAATATCTTGTAATCATAGATATTACTTTTCATAAATACCCCAAAAGCATTTCCCCAGGGGATGTCAGGGACTCCCTATATAGCACGTTATTTAATCTTGACAAGATGTACTAAAAACTAACCTTAACAATGACAGGTTAGGAGACATACTATTGGTGCCATTTGCTTTTCTCTTGATGTTATTTCCAGTGCTGTTGATCATGGTATAAATAGGGTCAAAAGATCTGAGGCTGAGTCAGAAATTCCTGTTCGGCTTCTGACTGGCCTGGTGGGGAGCAAAGTATTTAACCTCGCCAAGCCTTGCTGGGTGATTTTAAGGACCCTGTAGGAAAGCACTGCAAATGGTACAAATATGAATGGAAGATAGCCGGTTCTTTAATAAATCAGCCTAGTTGAGTAAAGAATCTGTACTAGAACCTAATTTTTCTCCTCACTAGCTCTGTGGCCTTGGGCAATTCATTTCAGTTCGTCTTGTTTTTTTTCACTTGTAAAAGAGGTATTATATATATTATACATATATATATAAAATATATATATTCTCTGTTTCATATGGTTTTTTATGAATATGAAAATGATATATGTATACTAAAGTATAAAGAATATATAAATGATTACAATTCTTAATAATGTCTCATAATAGAATAATGACATTTTGGCAAAGGATAACCTCAAGGCCAAATGTGTATGAATTGATTCTTTCTTTCTTCTTATAAAAGTATTAATATAATTTTAAATTAGTATGTCTATATTAGATCCTTTCAGAAATATTTGCACAGAGAATTTTTCTGATTTCTATGACAGAGTCAAATTTGAACAAGATACAATCACTTAAAAATAAAATATGGAATTCAATTACACGCCAAAAATAAGTGAGGGCTTCCTTAAAGCAAAGATCTTTTGTATATTTCATTTTTTTTAATGAAGTCTGTTCGAAAACAAAAATGTTATAGTCCATTTTCGTTCATCATTTATTTGTTTAATACTCTCTTGAATTGAGAGAAATATGGGTTATATGCGTTGGTACATTTATAATAAAAGGATTCAGTTAAGCAAGTATGGTTCAGTTTTATACTGAAATTGTTACCATTCAAAGGAGCTCCTTTTTTACATTTTTTAAAAATAGAAATATTCTACATTTATACTGGTTAAAATCTAATGTGCTTTAACCTTTTATTTCCTTGCCAGATAATAGTTGGAGAAACTGCTGTGTTTTGCCTACAACTAGCCACAAGGGATTTTGAAAACCAGGAGAAAACTATTTTAACTGGAGACTGTTGCTATATAAACCCACTGGTGCGGCGAACTGTACGATTTCTTGGTATGTGTTCATTGGATTGTTTCTATTGTTGCTGAAACAATGTTTATGTGTAAGCTAAACTTTAAAATGACTAGCATTTAACTGTATGCAAATATTAGGTTATATTTTCTTTGAAATGTTTTAAAAATAAATGCTGCATACTACTTTCTCTTGCATGTTGCAAGACTCCATTTCAAGGTGTCATTTCTATATTATTTTAAGGAAAAAAGAACACCACACTGGGATATTTAATATTCTTTAAGAAACTAAAAATTACATAATTAAAAGAAATGATTTACTGTGTTTATGAAATTTCAGAAACAATGCTTAGGGAGAAATGATAGTAGGTAGGTTGTTGAACATCAGGAAGGGCAAGCAAAATAGCTTGGCAAATAAAAGAAATGTTGCATTTGTTAATTACCGTACGCAGCACTCCGTGTACTACTTCTGAGCTGTTTTTCAATGTCAACAAAAATGTATTGGTGATTTTATTAGAGGACAAGATTTACTGATACTTTAACTTTCAATCTCAAATTCTAGGACTAATACATTTGAACATTGATTAATTGCTGAAAATCATCCAATTCAGTAGAAACTTGGCCAAGACAAATTTTTTTAACTGACACAATAAAATTTAATATAAATTATTATTTCCTGGATTTATCAGAATAAAAAAGCATGTCTGTATATACTGAATACCATTTAAGACAAATTCTGATCAGTATTAAGATTAAGGATACTATCACCCTTCAATATATTTCTCATATTGATGGGATCAAGATGAAGACTTAGGAGATATTATGCATAGATCACCTAATCTATATATAAACGCACTTAAAGACTAATGCAATGTCATCATGCCTTTAAATCTTTCTGAAGATGAAAGGTCTTCATATGTAAGACTGTTCTTTTTATTACCATCAAGTTATATATCTCCAAAGCCCTCATTTATGCTGTTGAAGGAATAACTTTTATATGAAACTTTAAAAAGTTATTTTTTTCACATGCATCAGTACTGTGTTCTTGACTTATTTCTCTTTGTATGAGGCATTTAATAACAAAACAAGCAATAAAATACTCAGAACTAGAAGTATTTGTTGAAATCGACACTTTCCTCAATACTGTTAAGCAAATTATACTATGCCTACTTAAATAAAATATTTTTCTGCATTTGCACACATATTTCTAAAGAATGTATGGCACAAAGTAAAGTGTGCTTTTAGGTCTCTACATGTTTCTTCTTAGATGATTTTATAAAATATTTAAGAGTGCTTGATTTGTTTCTTGTTTTCTTGTTCATCATGATTTGGATGTTTCTAGTTTGTTATCATAAAATGAGAAGCTTGCAAGCAAAGCATTACTGTATAAAAGGACATCACTCTTTATAACAACTTTATTCTGGAAGTCAGCAGAAGGATACACTCATGGGGTCTCACTTTAATAAGCATCTTTGGGCCGGCTCCGTGGCTTAGCGGTTAAGTGTGCGCGCTCTGATGCTGGCGGCCCGGGTTCGGATCCCGGGAGCGCCCCGAGGCACCACTTCTCCGTCCAACGTGAGGCCGAGTCCCACGTACAGCAACTAGAAGGATGTGAACCTATGACATACAACTATCTACTGGGGCTTTGGGGGGGAAAAACTGAATAAATAAAATCTTTAAAAAAAAAAAAAAAAAAAAAAAAAATAAGCATCTTTGTAGTCAGCTACAACATTGACCTAGGGCCTGATGCACTGACATTTTACTTAAACACATTTGGGAACTTTACAAGTATCAAGAGACATTTCCATATCCTTATCAAATATTTCTCTCTATTTTAAACAGGAAAGCTTATTACCCCAGATAAAAAGAATGGTTTGGTTAAATAAAGTGAGCCCATTTTAGCTTGGATTTCAAGAGAAGAGAGATGAAGACCTGTCATTTTGGTTCCCGTGCTAGGCCACGAGATTTGGAAGGGGAAGTTGTATACAGTAACATTGTATTGAGTTCCATTCTCTTTCATTTCTCTACCCCTCCCAAATTTCTGCTTTTGATAACATTTTCTTCTATGACTCATGGAAAAGGGGTAGGATCTAGAAAAAAAGCTTGTTATTGTTTCCTTTTAAAATTTTAGATAAAGAGAGAACTATTTGTTTCATTGCCATTTGTGTATACACAGAGTTTTGCTATGTGTAGGGTTGTCTGCATGAACCTTTTATAATCTTACATAATATTTTGAAAATTAAAAGGACAGCCATGCAGCTAATGATGGAAAATTATTTGATCCTGCACAATTTTTCTGGTGGTTTCCTAGAGAATAGCCAATAATTATGTAACGTCTTAGAAAACAAACAATCCAGAAATATATGACTCAGGAAAAAAGCATCGAATTATTATAATAGAATTATATGACTTTTTAATGAACCAACTATTTGGGAAATATTATTTTGGTATAATTTTAAAATGTCGTGATGGATTTTATTTCCCCAAATTATGAAAGAATGGATTTCTTTACATTGGTGCCACATCCTTGAATGTTGTATCTGTAAGTTTAATTGAAAGTGATGCCAAAGAATTTATTTTGCCTACCTTACCTAAGTAGAAAGATAAGTTTTGGTAATAATGATCAATAATATTGAAATTAGAAAATGTTTTTTGTATTCGAGTTAATTGGCATGTTCCTTACAAAAGGGAAAAAAAAATCTGTGTACTTAATTTTATACCTTCAGGTAACCAAAGCAAATAAATTTTAATACTGTGAAGGTAATTGAAAAATTATAATTTAATGGCTTTATTATTTACGAACTTGCCCCAAATTTGATAAATTAAAACTCAATCCATAAAAGATAAGGTGAAACTAAGTTATTAGCTCTTATGTGACTTTTAAAAATGTGTTTCTGAAGGCAAGGTAGAGATTAATCTAAAAACATTCTGCTTTAATGAAGATTTTCCATGATATTTAAATGAAAACTAGTGGCATTGGCTTTTACTGCTAATTGGCACCTCCAGCAGAGTTAATATTAGTCTGAATGGGCTTAAGAGGCATAATCAAAGGGAGAAAACTGCTTTGCTTTATGTCAGTCAGATAAAAAAGTATTTTCAAAAATAGAGAAAAAGTAAAAGTAAAGATTGCTAACATTAGTAGAAAGTGATAGACTGAACTCTCTCAAGGGAAACGTGTCTCCATTTAAAAAATCTCATTACTCAAACACAGCCTTAGAATATATTTTCTTCTTCTATCTTATTTCTTATAAACCCATCATGCATAAAAATGTAGCCAGTGGTAGACAGCTCAATATGTTAAATAATTTAACACTCCCACCACTCCAGAAAGCAAAGGGAGGAACTAGAGAGGACTGAAATGGAAGGAACCATATGTATGTATGTATGAACTATTTTATAGTTTCTAAAATATTTCCATGATGGTTTATTGTAAACTAAAACACAAAAAACCAAAGAGTTAAAATAGTTTGTTTTCTTCCTCAGGGATTTATACGTTTGGACTGTTTGCTACAGATATCTTTGTAAACGCTGGACAAGTAGTCACAGGGAACCTGGCTCCCCATTTTCTTGCCCTGTGTAAGCCCAACTATACAGCGCTTGGATGTCAGCAGTACACACAGTTCATCAGCGGGGAAGAGGCCTGCACGGGCAACCCAGATCTCATCATGAGGGCAAGGAAAACATTTCCATCCAAAGAAGCGGCTCTCAGTGTCTATGCAGCTATGTATCTGACAGTAAGTAAGGATTATAAGCCAGTCTTAGTCTGTCTTTCTGTGAATTCTCCCAATGCAGAAATTATTTCTCCTTGCCATAATGGAAGTCGCATTAACAGCTTTCTGTAGGCCATTTAATTTGTTTTTAATAATAGCTGTTTGTACTGTGAATAAAATTAAGTCAGTTGACTCTCATGAGATTATGTGTAGGTAGTTGGTTGTATTAAAAAATATAGCCATTAGCATTTCTATTTGAGAATATGTTTGTCTTTATATTAAATAGGGCTTAATGGAAACAAATTTGTCCTGTAGCAGTCCCATAAACTTGTAATAGGGCAATTAAGAGAACTACCCAGGCCTCTTAGCTGCCTACTCAAGCTCTAATATTCTCTGGTAGGGGTTGGGAAAGGAGCACTCTTTCTAGAAAGTTCTTTTGTTATTAGTAACTATATCATCATAATATCTGAACCAATGTTTTAATATTTTGTAGAACTAACCAAAATGTCCTTTTAAGTTATGTTTTTTCCTTTATTCTTGAGTATTTGCCATTATTTTAGGGCTAAGAGCCAGACCCCAAGTGCAGCTATCTTAGGATCTTTCTGTGGAAGTAAGTGGTCACGGCTGAGTGCATTACTGATATGCAAGAGTAGAAAGAAGGGCAGCCTTGGCAGGCAGCTCTTTGACCCCCGCATTGGAGTCATCAGCCTTTCCCTCTCTCAACAGGATCTGCCTTGCAGCTATGGAGTTGGACTCCAAAAGTGTGCTCTGTAGGCTTTTCCGTAGCTCCAGTAAGAAGTTGAGAATTTAAATATCTTTTTGAGTGCTCCTTTCCAATGGTACCAATAGCTACTTCCTTCTAATTTCAGCTCATTGACAAAAGATCTCAGGACCAATTTGAAATGAAATTTAATCATTTTTAATGACTAAAAAAAACTTGGAGATATTTTTACCCTCAAAGAACTATTTGATTATGGAAATGTTTCTAATGTTCCTAATGCACTCACGTCAGATAATCTCTAAAAGCAGAGAGAATATACAGTGATACCCTGTGGCACCTCTATTTGAGATTGGAATTAAAGATTACTAAATAAAGGACAATTTAGACAGCGCAATTAGTATTGTATGTAACATTTACAATGGCGGGATAATTTTGGAGGTCATAAGTGTATGCATTTTAACATTTTTAAAGTTTTTAAGCCAAGCTAATTGTATCCTTCACTGCCTGGACTTTTAAAAAATCCCATGAAGAAAATTTTTAGAGTTAAGAATCAAATCCTATCATAGCCATTTTCTCTTCTACTCTCTTCTGATTTTTGTACAATTTGTCAGTTACAACTCCCTTCTTGCCCTCTTGCTGTGCCCCATCTCTTTTCTTATAATTTCCCCTGATTTCTTTAGCCCATCAGCTTTGCTTTTTGCTTCACATTCTAAGTTACTTCTAGACTTGATGTGAAATCTGCTCATCCTTGCATATTGTTTCCTATTCACTAAATTGCTTGACTGCATGTTCTACCCCTCCTAGAATATGTAGCATTCAGCCTTAAAATGAAGTTTTAAAACTTGAGTGAATCGGAAGTCATGAAATACTTTTCATTCACTGTCATCACACCTAAATCTGATGTTTATATTTGTATCTGGGTATGATTTGCAAATATATCTGCATATACATATGTGATCAAGCCAATGACTTGAGACAAATTCCAGAATACTCTCGGACCCCAAATACTATTACATGATTATCTTAGCACTAATAGACAATAGATTTTGCTGTGTAACCAGGGTTTGCCAAAGGTGGTGAATCTGCTAGTATAGTAAAATACTTGGTCTTTTTATTCTGCCAAAATGGTGTTTATAGGCATTGCTATGGGAGAAGGCATTATCCTTTTATGTGCAGGAAAATCTTAGTATCTTGTCTTGCCCTTGGTCTGCTGACGTTTGTTTTAGCAACTTCTTACCTGATTTGTTTTAGCAGCTTACGTGCAGCATTTATTTAAGCAACTCCTGAATTATAAACCATACTGTTCTGGTCTGTAATAAAGACTTGGACATGTTTGTAGTAATAATTATTATTATTATTATAGCGAAAATTTATTGAGCATTTACTCTGTATCAAGCATTAAGTTCTTCACTTTTACTAATCTATTTAATGTATTACTAATACTTATTTGTGTATTATTAAAATTTTGTATCATTATTATTTATGTAATAATTGAGTATTTATACTAATTTATTGAATCCTCATAACAACTCCTGAAGTATGTACTATTATCATGCCCATTTTACAGATGAGGACACTCAGAAAGTGAAATAACTTGCCCAGATCCATAGAACCACAAATGTTCCTGGCTGCAATCATTCTGAATATTCCAGAGAGGAAGTCACTAAATCATATTAGCCCTAACATGTGCATGGTCAGCTGAATTTCCTCCTACTCCTGCATAATCTCAGCACCCATAAAGGTTAAAGCCAAGGGTTCAGATGGTAGATATGTTTAGAGAAAAAAACATTTAATAACACTCCACCATTCGGAAATCTTCTATCATTAAACAGTGGTTCAGACTAAAAGTCAGGACTCCTGCTTGTAATTACATTGAAGGGTACCTCTGTCTTTTTAACAATAGATTCTGTTCTCTGCTAACTGCTTTTCTTTCTTCTCTACCACCCCTTTTTGTGTGTGTGTGTGACTGTGGGTGGCTGCTATGGCAACTCTGAATATAACTCCTGCTGCAAATGTAGGCATTACAGTCAGGTTTTGCTGTTATATTTGAACTTATATACAAATATATTCCTTCCCAGCTTCACTAGAGACACTTTGGAAAAACTTGATAATAGAAGTGTTGGGGTATTTCAAACTAATACAGTCTCGTGAAATGCTTGCAGAATTTTGATGAGTAGGTAAATGGGGAAAACAGCCGTATATTCAGTGTTCTTTGTGGAAATAGGCTTATTGCTGTATTTAGGGAGAGATATATTTGTTTAATGTGGTGTAGGTATTATAAACATACATAAACACATAAATAAAAATAAATGAGCACTATTATGAAGTATGCAAATAAGAACTGAGGAATATTTTTCTGATGCTTCTCTTTGTGGATTACAATTAAGGAACTTGAACTCTCCCTTAGCATTTGACTTTAATTGAGGCTTTGGGGATAATTTGATCACAGAGTTGTTCTCTTTTGCTTTACTGAGAACTTTCAGGGAAAAAAAATCCCTATGCCTATTTTTGCAAATGCTTTGGTTCCCCAGGAAAAAACTCTGAAGGTTATTTAATCCTCAATCATTAAATTTATAATTCAGTGTTAAGTTGAATTAGAATAATATTTAAATTTAGCTTTGTGGTATTTCTTTTTATATAAAATGGGTAAAATTTTTTCCAATTAAAGTCAAATGAACTCCAAAATTGAGAATGAGAAATAATGTTTGGTGACTTTTCTGGATAACATCATAAACCATTGAAGGAGAAAGACATAAAATGATCTCTTTAGGTTACTTCCAGTTCTACCTTAGATTTTCTGAAAATGCAAAAGAGAAAAAAAAAAAAAGGAAGGGTCAGCCACATTGGTTGGCCTGTTTTCATTACGTGTTGCTGCATAGCAAACCACCCTAAGCCTCAAAATAACAAGAATTTATTATCCTTAGGATTCTGTGGGTTGACCTGTGGTTTTCTTGGTAGTCAGTCAATCCTTGATTCTCTCATGAGTCACATTCAGCTGACCAGTCGGCTGGGGTCTGGACCTCTCTCATCCTCAAGAGTCCTTTCTCACAGGTCGTCTTCCCTGACAGTGTTTTAGAACAGCCTTCCAGTGAACAGAGGCCCACGCTGCAAGGCATCTTGAGGCTCAGACTCCAAAACTTATTTACATCCCCATCACTGTATCCTATTGGTCCAACCAAATCACAAGACCGACCCAGATTGGTGAGGGTGGAGAAATAGACTCTGCCTGTAGTTGGGGGACGTACATTAAAGTCAGACTGTAGAGAGGGGAACGTACTGGGATAGGAGGAATTTGTGGACATTAAACAATGTATTACAGTCTTTTCCCAGAATATTAGTGAAAAGCTTTAAAATATCATTTCCCTCTCTCTTCCTCCCTGTTGGTGGCCAGTCATTTGCATCATTCTACTCTCCCTTTCCTCGAAGCCATCTTTTATAATAAGCTCACAAGGTCCCATGTACAGCAGTTACTGCTACAGGCTGCCAAGACAAGGGTTAAATTAACACAGTCCACTGGTGTCTGTTTGCCCCTCCTTTAGTGACTGTTTACCTACTGCTACATAGGGGCGTAAACAGACCCTCGTTCTCGGGTACAGGAATTTGGGGAATGCATGCCAGTTTACCCGCAGCCCTTGATTTCATGAGACTGGTCAGTGATGTGTTTGGAGGAGGATTGGGGTGGTGAAGAGAAGAGCTCTGGGCTGCCTTCACATTATTTGTCTTCACTGGCTGATGAGATCTGGCTGCCATTAGAAAGCCATTCCTCTAAATCTTCCCTGCCCAGGAGTAATTTAATGCTGAAATGTGTAAGTTCCGTGTGCTCTAGATTTCAAATGAGCAAATTTGTGTCTACTAGATAATATATCAGAAAGTATTTATTGAGTCCCCACTCATAATGTGACTGCAATTCTGTTACTGTGACCACGGGTGCTGCAACCACTATTATTAGTTGATGGACGTGTCTCCTGTCAGCCTTCAGCTAAGTGTTATTGGTAGGAGGTTGGGGAAGGAACAAAAGACATCTGTGGTGTACCCACTGGGTTCCAATATTTTCACTACATGGAACCCTTTTATAATTTACCCTCCTCCTCTTCTCCCACACTCCTCCAAGAACTCTATGTTTTTAAATCCTCTATCTAACATATTAATATTTTCCCTTCCCAACTTAGGCCCAGATATTAAACAGTGGTCTATAATAATAAAATATAATAATGCTATTTTGAAATTGTACACACACAATTATTATAACGGTTGGGATGATAATAAGCACTTAAGTAAATGATTACAGACACATTGACACTCT